AATAGGTAATTGACTCTGGGAGGAGTGCAGTTCAGCCATGAGCGGGCCGAGTCCAGAGTCGCATTCCGGCCAGTGTAGTCGCCGGGTTCGGATGTCTGCAACCAGCCGTGAGGTTGCCGGCTCCGGGAGTGTCTGACCGTAAGCAATCCCCGCAATAAAGTCCTTTGTGCACCGGCTTTGGAACGTAATTTGCAAGTTGAGACAGACAGGGGGTGACCTTGATTGGAGTTTTGACACCGTCTGGTGCGCACGCGCCGGTGGACACGCGAGCCAGACATGTGGCCTGCCCCGGCAGCGTGCGAGGAAAGCATGACTTAGAAGACGAGATCGCTACAAGGTTTCCTCCCATCGTCAGCGTCCAAATGCATGTCGGTGCTGATCCCGGAACCTGATAGTATTTTTTGACAATTTCTTGAGCGTTAATCTGGTCGCACTCATCCCACATTTAGTGTTTCCACATCAACGCTAGATGTTGTCAATCAAATCTGCACAACAGGTCCTCCTGTATTTTATCGCACTCGCCATCTCGCGCCTGCAAGACTTACTGCTGCTAAAAGCCGAGATCGAGCATATGCTTCAGATGGGCATCGTTCGTCCATCTGAAAGCCCATGGGCCTCCCCTCTTCATATGGTCGCCAAGGCTGACTCTGGTGACTGGCGCCCCTGTCACAAGTTATGGCGTCGACCACGGAAGGCTTCCCCAAATCAAGACAGGCAAGACAGAGTTGATGAGACAACTTCTTTACTATAGCAAGAAGGAATTGTACAAGCTGAATCGGGAGCCAGTTGCTTGCTGTGTCCGTTCACCAGGCCTCAGTGATGAAGTGTGCTTCTGCCAGCGCTGACCATAAACCCGGCGCATACCAGTAATCAGCGATACGTAAAATCGATTGACTGGTTGACTGACTTGACTGCCAATTCGCGCTTAGTAGATCAGTCATCACAAGCGGCGAGGCGAGTCCAGTGTGAACCAGTAATCAGCGATGCGCAAGAATCGATTGACTGGCCACGTTGACAGAGCAGGCAGAATGCGTGATCATGGCAGCGCTGGGGGGCAGGCTCCTACACCCCTACGGTGGCTACAGGGGTTGAAACAACTTCACTATAACGGACCGCTACCCTGCACCACACCTTCAGGACCTTGACGGTTCAGTTTTCGGCAAGTCCGTCTTCTCGAAGATCAACCTGGTCCAAGCCTTTCCCCAAATTCCAATCGCCCCGGAGAAGACGACCGTCACCACCCCATTTGGCCTGTTTGGGTTCTTTCGCAGGCCGTTTGGACTCATACGAAAGGACATATACTTCCACTTGCTCAACAAGTTTAGATATGCGAGTCACTTAGCACACTCTTGATGCAGGCGCTGCCTTCTTCTCGCGCCCTTGGACGTTGACGGTGGCCGCTTCGAAGAGAGTGGAGTGTATGCGGGGTGCAAAATGCATAGCGTCATGCCCACCAAAACACCGTAGGTATGAGGCCTACTATGGAAAGGATAATAGAACACCAACATACTATTTGCTGACGGTGAGCCGGTTCCCGTAGGAGATTTGGAGAGGCTGCCAATTGGTTTTCGTAGGGGATTGACAGGCCCTGTGGAGGCCGGCGCAAATTAGCGATTGGGTGCATCGTCTAGTATCATCTCCAACGTCTGAAGACGGTTAGCCGTCCGCTGAACTCGTTTCATGATGAACAGCTGGCCGTGGCGCGACTCGTCCATCTGCCGATGCAGGGCATCTAGGAGGGTTTTGATATCTTCATTTTATTGTTGGATCCGATGCTGAAAGTTGTCTCATTGAGAAGGAATCTTACTATTTGTATATGAACGATCCATAACTGGGAGGGTTTCATGATGTACAGGTACCCCACTGGCCTGCTACGGCCTCTTCATCTACTTTCGCGTGTTTAGAATAGCATTGCCTCAATTGCTCATCAATTTTACGCGAAATTACAGCCACTTGTTGAGCAACCTGTCCTCTAACTGTTCTTTTGCAAAAATGCCCAGACACAATGCAACACATCAAATGCAACAAGTCAGCAAATGCAAAAGGGTAACGTATTGGACACAAATATAAACTCGGAATTACAGAATATGGCGGTGTCAGTCAGACGGCGGAGTCAATTGTGTTACCATGGCAGGCCAAAACAAAATGGTGGCTTTGGCCAAACGCTCACGCGCTACGCGAAGCACGCTAACCAATTAAAGCACAGGCCGAGGCGAACAATGAGCCAATCAGCGCACAATCAGCAGTATGTCCGTACGTCGACATTCGCGGATATAGCTGCTATATCGCCTGTAATTAGGGTGGGCCGATCGATAGCCTCCTGTAAGCGCGGCTGCTTGCTGCATGCTACTTGGCTCCTAACACAATACACCTGCACCGCGTAGCAGACGGAGCAAGACCTCTGGCGCGGTCAATCAGCACGTGGGCACGAGCTTGCCACAGGACGTGCTGCAACCAACGTCGGCAGATCTGGATCGAAGACCACCTTCATCGGATTAGCAGCTCAGGTAGATTGGAGGCACAACCGCGATTCAGTGCACACCACGCTCTGATATCCTTCTAGCAACATATAAATAGGAGTGCTCAGGTTTAACCCGCCGCAGAGCCTTCTTGGCGTGTCTCCTTTGGGCTTAGGGAGGTCTAGAAACATGCAGATCACAGTGAAGACTC